GAATGTTTACCGATCAGGCCACGGACGGATGTCGGCAAATCTTCCAGCGGCGAGTGCCATGAGCGCCTCAACAGAACTGATCAAGGTTGTGCCCTTTGCAGCCCAAAGCGTGGGCGTTTTCACACCCACTCTGTTTGAAAGTTTCCTGTGCCTCACTTTCAAGCTGATGGAACTCTTTCCGGAGCTGCAAATAGCTTGCACTTGCCATGCTGAACGAGGTGTGGATCGAGGTGATTTGTGATGGTTTATGTTGAGGAAGCTCCTTGCACTATGCACTGTAAGGTACCCAGTACTTGCCCCACAAGGGTACCCAGTACAAGGGCACGCCCCTCTTCTTTCTCACTGTTCCGGGACCATCGTGTTTCCAGTATACCCTGCAGTGCCCTGCAGTGAGCTGGAAAGATGGAGAAAGATGGTGACTGCCTGCATGAAACAAAGCCATTGGCCTATTCTGATGTGCGGGTTGGACCCGGGGCGTGGCCATCAGTGTCATAACTTCTGTACTGCTTCAGCTTTCGCCTTAACAAGCACCCAGAAAAGGTCTTGGTGAATCTGGTGATAGAGCTGAGCCCTGGCTGCAACTCGACCAAGGGACCAAGCATGAATCTCTTATCATCAGTTTGAGGATATGCAACAGGGCTGAAAGTTCTTCGGCACAGACTCCGTGACTCCGTTTCATCAAGTGTTGTTCGCCTTCGGAGAACCTCCACGTCACGACGAAAGCATCTTGCGCACGTGTCCGGGGCACGCCGAGTGCGGAGCGCTGAGTGCCCAGACGCCGCGGAACCTACGCTGTTTGGAAACACGCTCCGGACCACAGCGGCCTGTTTTGACCGGTCGGAGAAGCGGGAACCAGTCGATGAGTAGCTCCGGCTCCGGAGTGAGGGAGCTCTGAGCTTGCAGCCTTCGTTCAAAGGGATGTGAGTTCGGTCCATTGGGCTCCGTCACATACATCCCCAAGGATCCAGTAGCCTTTGAGGTTCGGCGGGGGGGGTAGGTGGGTGCCATTGCCGGGTCCAGTCGTACCGAACTTGAGGAGGTTTCAGTCAGGATCCCTAGGGCATATCAAGTTGAGGTTGCTCTTGGAGACACTGGATCTTCCTGGGCAGGTCACCCGGACCACGTGATCACGGAGCACGTGACATGGTCTCCACGACTTCGTGGCGCCGGAACAGCGGATGCTCCGGTGGTGGCTGGTCAAGACCGGAGCGGTCCTTGGGGCTGGTCCGCAGGTTGGGGGGTTATATGGGGTTATAGCATGTTATAGCTTCATCAGCTCCAGAGATTGTTCAGGACCCGAACTAATTAGACCATCCCAGTTGAGCCCAGTATACGGTCCTAGAAGGTCACTGGCTACCTCTCTTGGCTGTTTTTGATCCAACTCGCTCTTGGCTGGCCCAGCTCTAAGTGTGAAGGAAAGGAGCCTGCGCACACTTTCAGGTTTCAAGAGTCGTACGAGATCTCAGGAGTGAGCCCCTTGGTCTACCCCCTACCTGACCAAACACAGCGCGCACTGCAGCCAACCTGTTTGTAGAGGCAGCCAACCACAGGGAATGACGCAGCCAAGGAAGGACCTTACAAGCATGCAAGGGAGTTCAGCCATCTCGACACGTTCTTTCCGTCATCAGATGTGGCATTTCTCTTTTTTCTGGGCTTATCTTGGGCGTGACTTGCACAAATCCAAAAACGCTTGGCCCAGGCATTTCGGCATTTCTTCCGAACGCTTTTCACTAACTCCATCACTCCTTTTTCAGGTCGACAGGCGATCAGAAGCCATCAATGCGCCGGGTCCGGACACGTCGGACATGGACACGGCGATCGCGGGCGCACGTTGGGACTGATCCAGCATCGAATCGATGCCCCAACGTGGCCAAAGCAGAGGTTTTTGACCCTTAAAAGGACTATCCCAGTTGGGTCTTGGGTACCCCAAGCTGTCCCTGTCACGTCACGTCACCTCTCTTGGGTCCGGTGCTGCCAAACCTGGTCTCCTGTCAGGTCGGTTGACACGTTCGAGTTCGCATGTCTTTGAGCCACGGCGCTTCACATGTGAACGTCCCCAAACGTCGGATTTCGAGAGGTACATCGATTCCCGGAGGATCGACTAGGTCGATGTACCTTTCACCTGCCGTTCACTCGTTCGCGAGTGCCAAAAAAAGCGGGCGAGCAGGTGCTTGGGGCGGGTGGTGGAGCTGCGGAGTGGACTGGAGCGAGTCCGTCATTCTGAGTGACCTTTCAATGTAAACATCGCAACAAAATTGACTGGTGCTTAGTAGGGAATGAGGGAATGAGCCCCAATAGAGATTCCTTTGGATCCATTCCCTGATTCCCTGCTAAGCACCAGTCAGAAAATTGATGTTGTCACCATGGCTGGTTTCATTGTGGTTTATGCGAGCAGTTGATGGCTGTCGTTTGCTTGGTGGGAACGATCGACTGCGGGAACAAAGGGCCAGTGGTATTTTCTATTTAAACAGTTTTAAACGGTTCACTAAAGGAGTTCCATTATAAAGTGCACTTTGTTGCGTTATGTTGTAAACACTTTCTAGCTTCCTATCGCCTGAAGGGCTGGTTGCAAGTGTAGCAGCGTAGAATGTCACATGATCAACCCTTATTGTCCAATGTGTTCATTTCAGAGGGCCAGTTTTGCTTTCTTGCTTCACAACATGCAGATCTTAGATACCGATATGTTGATACTATATGCGATTATATGTGGTGTAGGTTTGGAATCGGTTGCAAGACTAGGACCGCCTGGAGTAGAGCCCTTATCAATCGATCCACTTGCCATGCGGATGAACAAGGAATCACCTGACGCAATGGCTGGAAACATGGTGCACTGGTCATGTTGCAATTGCGAGAAGTCCTTTACGCGAAAGGCCCTGCTGCGGAACCGGGAGCCGGATGCTGTTTTTGGACATGACAGAGGGAGAAGAGACATGTCAAGTTGGAAATTCCAAAAACTGTAGTGACAGTTCCTGAAGCTCTTTTCAACCACCTTCAGAGAATAAATACTCTTTTGATATATCATTTGTTTTTCTTCAGAAACGCTTTTTGCACTCCTTGGGAGGTCTACAGTAGGGAAACATGTGTGCATCTCAAAAGTCAGTGCCATTCCAACAGAGCAGACTTAACACTAACACAGGAACACTTATTATATATTATATACTAGATAGAATAATCACAGAATCATTTTACTGGATTTTCCCTACTACTGCGCCGACTCGCCAGAATGACCGTCCGTTCCCGAGCCCCCACTACCAACAGAGGTGGAACATGACCGGGACCAGGTCGGACCCGGAAAACCTGGGGTACCTATATGGGATGGTCGAACGAACTCGGGTCCTTCAACCTTTGCGGGTACGGCTGTTTTCACCATCGCATCCGATCCAAAACAGGTTCCAAACCTGTTCACCCTTTTGAAAGACCTACACCCCTCACCGAGCCCACCGAGCATCGCAATACTCATTATCTGTGAGTCGAAAGGTCCCTTCTCCCTTCTCCCTTGCCGTTCAGGAGTCAATTCCCTTGCCGTTCAGAGAACAAGACTGTTTTGTTCAAATAGCAAATATCACAAATGGTTCAAACACATAACACAGTCGTCACTGGACAGGAAAACATCACACTTTTCTGACATCTCATGTCTAACAGAGCAAGTTGCCAGTCTTTGCTGCAATCAACAACCTCACAACTCAATGTATCGCACTCATTGTCACATCGCACTCATTGTCTCATAACAGACAAGATTTCCGCCCTTTGCGCCTGCAACATGCAGAATATCCAGGTTTGATCGGGTCCCTTCCAGTTCAATTGCCTGATGTGCCATGTTTACAAATCCAAAGATAAAGAAGGAAAACACACTGCGCAGAAAACTGTGGCACTCAAAAATGAGATCATCATCAACCACACTCATTCACCAAGAACGGTCCTGCTCTACCAATGCCTTTGTGGCAGCCACCCCCAAATGGTAAACACTAAGAACACAATGTTGCTTTGCCCTTTTACTAAATCCTTAACATTTTTGTTGCCGATTGTTGCTTAGGTCGGCACTGGAATTCATAAGACCTTTGGCACGAACTTTTCCAGGAAATGATCTCTGTGACTTGATTGCCCAAAATATCCTTCCTTTTCTAGAACCTCAACACAGGATGTCATATTTGTTTGGCTCCTCCAAGCGCAATTTGGCTTCAGGAGTTTATCAACCAGCCGCTGGTATTTTCAATTATTTTGTCCAGTTGTCCAGGCTCACCCTTACAACCCAAGGTGACCTTATAAGCAGTGTATATATGGGGCGCTTTGGATTTGGAATGTTGGGAACGTTGGTTGAGATGTGGAACGTTTTTCTTTCTGCTCAAGCCAAGCGGAGCTTCCAACGCGAGCCTTCCCCAAGGGCGGATACGACATTTGACTGTGTGGACGCGCTGTGATTTGCATCCTTTGTGGCCGGTTGTTTTCTGAACACTTACTCAGCTTGCTGCGTCAGGCAACTGCATTAGCAGAAGACAGCCGAATGATGACTTCGCATTTCACGTCACATGAATATAAAGAGTATTATGAAGCAAGGGCTTGATTTTTCACTGTTTTGAGCCTACTCTACTGACTTTTGTTGCTTCGTCATCCGAAGTAGTTTCGCATGCATCCTCACCGGCATCAATCTTCTTAGAAGGATGCAGCTGTGGCTGAAGTATGCAAGTTTTTCTCAGGATTCCTCCAACTGAGCAGCGTCAAACACCTCTCATGAACAGTTTAGACAAACTTGTAAACTCCAACTTGCCCGTGGAAGCCAAAACTGCCGTCGTGGAAAATCTTGCGGAAACCACCGCTGAAACATTGCCGAAGTGCATATTTTATCTTCTTGACAACAGTAGATGCCAAGGAGATCTATCTAACCTATGAGCACTTTTGAGAAGTACGTCGCGGAAGCGCCGCGGAAGGGATTTCAACCAAAAAATAGACCGGTTTTTGACACCGCTCACTTGGAATCAACATACGTAAGCCTTGGAAACCTCTCAGGGTCTTCGGTCAGCCCTGGGAAACTCTGTGCTGTGTTGTCCACAGCACCAGTCAAAGACCCCGGCCCCACAAGAGCGACAGCGCCACAAAAGCGAAGGAGGCAGGCACCAAGCGCGAAAGTCCGTCACAGTGACTGTTCGTCTGGCGAATCCTAATCGGAGAAAGCATAATTGCATCTTCCCAAACACCGGCAGCCCCAAGCAAATGACAACCACAACAGGGTTGCGGATGCTCGCGAGGGCGTGGCGCACAGGCAGGCTGCGACGCTGCTGTTTGGCATGGAAGAGGAGAAAACAGCACAATAGTTTGACGTAGTATCTGACGGTTGAGGTCATACAGGGTTGCAAACACGCTGCAGACGCAGGCAAGAACGTCGAAAACATGGGCACGCACGCCGACATGTTTTTCGACTTGAGGTTCAGACCTCCGAGTGGAGTCGAAATGCTGTGATCCTAGAAACACGCAAAAATGTTGTGGCGTTTCTTCAACATAGTCACTGCAGGTATGAATATAGTCACTGCAGTCAGCTGAGGGCCCTAAGATACAGGTGTGACTGTAAGGTCCTGAGTGAAGATGGAAGCTGCTTCTAAGTCAAAACTGCAATACAGCAACATGAATTCAATTCAAGTGAGCATCCCAATCTCTTGTGGGTGGTGTAGCTTGTTTTCTTTGGTGGATACAAGTTCCACTACTGAGCTATACTCCATCCAATAGTGCAGCGCAGAGAAACCTTCTTTGCATGCCAGCATCAGTATGCGGTTCAACTGCACCACACAAATTATTCAATGGCCACTGGTCAGTTGTTTTCAAGATTCAGTCAAGTCTTGGCATGCTTATGCCAACTGAATAGCTTGTTGCCTAAGAATCCTCGTTCGGAGTGAACACAAACTTCCAATATCTCATTTTCGTTAAGCCCTCCAAGCTCCACATGTTCCCACAAAACACCGGCAGCCCCAAGCAAATGACCACCACAACGGGATTGATGCTCGCGAGGGCATGGCACACCAGGCTGCGGCGCAGTTTGACATAGAATAGGAAGACAGCTGAAGGGTTTGACGTCGCGTTGGGATTGACGTTTGGCGTTTGACGCCATTTCATAGGGTTGCACACACGAGGAGTTTCTGCTGTGCTCAGACCGCTTCTACATCTTCGACATACCGTCGAGGTTGTTTCGGCTGCGAATCTACAGGGTGTGCGAAAGAAGCCAGAACACCGCGTTAAAGTTGTAAGATTCATAAGATGCCTCTATTCAGGACTCTTGTGTGAACTGGCTGGACTGATACCCCTTAATTTTTGTTGGCCAGTTCTGGAGCCCACGCCGTACAGGTCTGTACATCATGTTGAGCAGACGTGAACTCCAACTGAGCGGCCAAAACACTGAGACAACCACCGCACACTGACATGGGCAAACACGCGGGCCAAGCACCGCACACATGGGCAGTCTCGCACCGGACTGCATTCGAAACACTCTTTTTGATTTGAGGTGGGTTGAGTCGAAATGCCGCAATCCTAGAAACACACCGCAACCCCAACATAGCTGCGGCATTTCTTCAAAACCTTGTTCTTCCTGAGCAGCATCGACATTTCCATGCCAGTGGAGTCTGTAGGACTAGCCGCTAAGTGACTAGCCTGATCTAACATGTGCCATGCCTCCCCCAACTTGCGAATGTGGCTTTGACCAAAGCTGATTGGTTTGCCTTCACAGTATGCATGTTCGCTCACTGTTTTGGGATTACTAGTTCATTCAGACCTCTGAAGCCATGCTTTTGGGTGGGTGGACTCCTGCAAGGGTGCGATCTTGGACCATAGATGGTCATGACAAACCAGAGTAACCAGAGTAGTCTGCCCCAAGCCTGCTCAGGCCAATGAATTTACCAAAGTCCTCCGCGACGGAGCCCGAAAAAGACCGGCTAAGCATAGATTATCACCTTGCGAGCCTCTCCTTTTTGTGTTGTTCATACGGAGAGACACTCATCCGTCCGCCATCAATTTATGAAAGTTCTTCCCGCAAACAGAGCCCGAAAAGGACCTGCGTACGCTAAGCAAGTCCACTCTTGCTGCACACAAGGTCAAAGAACACACTAAGCACCAATCTTTGTGCATATACCTCTTTGGCCAAAACTGAGTGATTCGCTAAATATGAAGCCTTTTCCGCTGCCACCGACGTATGCTGCGCTGATGCGCATTTCGGACCATGCAATGTACACTCAATCCCAGGACCTTTTCCCACCCAAACTTTTTGCCTGAGACATGTCTAGCTTGAGACGGACTCCCATGATCCTGAAATGAAGATGGGGCTTTCTCTTGCCACGGGATGAAGGTTTGAAGCTGGCACAAAACTTTTCGGATACATGATACATGTGGATGATGCTTACAATGTAAGGGAAAACTGTACAAAGAACCTCAATGTAGGTCACGAAGCCGAGTTTTCGCTTTCCTGATCCAAAAGCAAATACTTGTGGTGGGCAAGGACGACGGTCATCACATGGTAATAATTGTGGGGGATCTTTTGATGGCTAATGCTTGCGTGGGGTTAAATCAAGACTGCAAGGGGACGTTCTGGGATCGTAATTGGACATGTGTCGCTTGCAAATACTCAATAACTAGCTGGAGACAGATTCCTGCGCCGCCGGTGTTGCACGTTGAATGTCGACGGCTCAGCCCCACCACGCAGACGATTCCGAACCCCAGCCATGTTGCTTGCTGCCCCTTGTCATGAGCCGTGCGTATAATGTGAAGCGCATTCAAAACTCCCCTAGCTCTTTTTCAGTGAAGAGCGTGCCACAGCGGTGTTGCCATGTGTTGCATTGTGATGTGGGTCTCCTGTCGGTTGTCAGGGATGAATTTCCCACTTCGCGGCATGGCAGCCTGGTTGCAGAGCGCATTTCACTCCATTCATCCTGGAGCCACCCAGTAGCGTAGGCCATGCGTGGAGTGAATTTGGGTTTGGCCAAATGCGCAGACGCATCAGACGCTTGAGGCAGTCCGAGGACTGAAAGTGATGGTATGAGCCAGCTCATGTGGTAGGAGTCAACGTAGGACATCAGTGGAAAGCCCAAGTGGATTTGAATTGTATATATTGCAAGTCCCTTTCATGTCCTACATGATGCATCTCTTCCTCAATCTGCTAGACTTTGTTTCCAAACCTGCAGTTGTTTGAACGGATGGTGGAGTGAATGGCAGGGCCGATGGAGGTCTGAAGGTTGGATGCATCGCACTCGTGCCATGGTGTTTATCCGTTTAGTCTACAAAGCAGATCCTATAGAGGGGCATATGGAGCTTTGAATGCGCCAGTGACAAAGCAAGCGATAATAGCTGAATAGACTAGACTTGCCTTGTGTTGTTTTCGTGCCTCAGTGAAGTTCTCAACACTTTATGCCTTGACCAAGCTTACAAACTAGCCTCATACCAGTCTCACTCACTCAGAATGGCGCAAGTCGACTTGAGAGCTCTGAGCTCCCTCATGTTGGCCCTCAACAGCTCTGAGGGGATCATGTTGGCTGTTGATGAAAAGTCCCTCCTGTGGACATGCAAAACCATTCTGGCAGGGGTGGTTTTATGCAGTTGAGTGACATTCTCCTAAGCGCCCCTCGCTGAAGTTGCGAAAAGCCTCTCGCACTGCCTAGATCGAGGCCGATCTGTGAGAGAAGGTTCCAATCACGCAAGGCTTTGCGGAACCCGCGGCTGGCCGGAGTGGGGAACCTTTGACAAATCATGTGCTACTTGAGGGAGATTGAAAGCACGAATCGAAGGGAAGTCGCTCCTGCCAGCGGCTTACCAAGCTAGAGTTCCTTCATGGCACACCATATTCATGCGATACTGCATTGATCATATACAGCCTGGATTCAGGGAAGCACTCAGATTGCTTTTATAGTATAAATAAGCAGCAATATTATACAAAGATCTTCCCGACAGGCTTCCAGCTCCGCACCTGGCGCCCGCAAAGAGTTTGAAGCACAGATCAAGCAGCGACCGAGCCTTTGCTCTCCATCACCGAGCCCTACCGAGCCCGGCTCCGCACCGAGCCCCTGCGCCTCGATCCTGCGTGTGCTGCGCATTCCATCGTTTGAACAACACTCGCGACGATCTCGCGAGTCATATCACGGTGCGACCTGTCGCGGTGCGACCGATATCAAAAGGTCGACCGCACGGGACGGGAAGGGCCGAAGGGGCGATGGTTGGGTGATGTTGCTTCCAAGACGGGCGGGCTAAGGGCGGGCGTGACCCGTTCCGGTCGAAAAATCAGAAAAGGAAGAAGATCTTCCAGGAGTCACAAAGAGTTGCTTGTTGGATCTTATTGGGGTCCCCATGATCCACTCACTGGATGGGACATTAAACCACCCAACTCCATGTGACTCCTGGTTCTTGCGTTCTTTTCACCTCATCAGTTGCTTTCCCTTGGCGAATGGGTCACCCATTCCACCGGCGTCCGGGCCCGATACCCGGTTCATCTGTGTGTTTGGTCCGCCGAATTCGGCGAGACAGAAGACATGATCTGTCGCAGGAGATGTGTTTGGAAGACTTGACTTGGAAATCCCAAACAGGATATGACCATGGAGCAGGAGGAGGAACTTAAACTATGGTTGTTTCATGGTTTTTTCTCATTGTTTTGTATGGTTTTTCGCTTGAGGTTCTCCTTTTCCAGATCTCCGAGTGACGATGCGAAAGGCTGGTCGATAAGCATTTGCGGTCCCAAGCAGGTAGTAGCATGTGGGGTCACGACATGATCAATCCTTATGAAGTGCTATATAGGCTATGTCAGAGGGCCAGTTTTACTTTCATGCTTTCACAAGATTTGCAGATCTTAGATACCAGTATGTGGCGTAGGTTAGGAATCGGTGCTTTCATACAAGACTGCCTGGAGTGTAGAGCCCTCAATTGATCCGCGCGCCGCGCCAAGCGGAGGAACAAAGAATCACCGGGGCGCCATGGCTGGAAACATGGTGCGTTGGTCATCTTGCAGCTTCGAGAAGTCCTTGGCGCGGAAGGTCGGCGGAAGCTTGAGCCAGAAGAGTGATGTCAAGTAAAAAAATGCACACCAAGAAAACACAAAACATATCACTATACGTGCAACCTAAAAACCTAGGATTGTTCCTTTGAAGCCCTTATGAACCCCCCGTGAGATCAGAGCTGAGATGAGGCATACGGCATACGTTGAGGGATTCTTCAGGTCCCTGTTTCTTGGAGGAGTTACCACCCAGCCAAGTGGTTCTCCAAGACCCAGCCATGTGTGAATTCGCAAGAGAGGTTAAGTGACCTTATAGGACCCTATACTGGGGTACCTATGGGATAGTCTATAGAGTCATTCAACCGTCAACCTTTGTTGGTCAGGCTGAAACGAAGGAGAAACGTCCCGAAACATCCTCGGTGAAGAGAGAGAAGAGCCAGCAGCCCGAAACATCGAGGCGGCCGGGGGAGGTGTTCGTCGGTGGATAGAAATGGTGTCCCTTGAATCCATTTCCCTTGAATCAACCATGCAGACCAAATGATTTTCAGGTGAGCCCAAACCTTGAATCAACCAGACCAAATGGTTTTTCTGGTGAGCCCAAGCCAGGTGAAGTTCGACTTCAACGAGCAGTTATGATCCACCTGCTTTTCCGTCGGCTAGGCTTGCGCTTGCATCAGCCAAGCTCCGAAGCAGCGACTGAAGAATGGCCGCAATCAGTGGTCGTTGAGAGACCGCACACCGAGGACTTGGTTTGTCTCAACCCGGGCATTTGAGCACCATGATAACACATGCGATATCCTCGCAGTTCAATTCCTACGCAGAACTGGCTGACCACAGGAGTGCTGGAGTCCAGAACACCACTTTTTTGGGCCTCGTGGTCGTCGGGTTGACGTACTCACGACACAAGCAGACAAGCAGACGTTGCAGTCAGACGTTTGTTCTGTACTGTGGAGGGTTGAACTATAGGGGAGGGTCGAACTAAGGAGCACAACTTTTTGGATGCTCTAGAAGTCATGCGTGTGACAATAAGGTCAATTAGCTTGGCACGGAAATCACATATTTGCAGCAAGCGACAAGTGGTTGAAGCGACCATCTCTCCTTGCAAACGGCAGCTGGGACCCTTTCTTCCTGCGATGGATTGTGAGTCACTGTGAGTAGAGCAAGAAAGGCCAGTTGTATCCTATTCAATCGAATTCTGCAAAAGATGACCACTTGGTTGGCTAAAAGTGACCCTATCAGGGTCCAGGACCATCCGGCCATCTATGTCCTGCCTTCGGCCCCAAGATGCCAACGACGTTTCGGCTTCGACCGAGAACATATACACCAGCAGCTTCCTTTGGGGTCACCTGGCTGGTTTCGCCCCAGCCAACTACTTAAGGGTCTCCATTGGACACACCTTGAAGGTCCATGTAGGGGCTCAATGGGTTGCTGCGCATATTGCCTTCCGTTGTTAAGAGATGTCAGACCTTCGAATTCGATGAAACAACGCGAAACAACAGCCAAGTGAAAACGATTTTTTCCGCATGGAACAACATTTGCACACTTGAGAGTCTTTTGACCTTTTGAAGACTGGGGTGCATGACCCGCGCAACATTTTGGCACAATATGGCACAATACTCCTTTGGTGCAAATCTGTTGAGCATCACAGGTTTGAGCATTGCAACATGGGGTGGTTGAAAAGATCTTTTGATCTTTCGATTGCTAAAGTCAGCATGTCAAATGGGGTCTATCGCTGCGCCTTTGCCGAGGGTGTGGTCAAGAGAGCCCCTTTTCGTCTCGCAGAACTCTCAGCGTTGGACAAATGGCCGTTGCCACTGCGGCGGTGTTGGCATCGCCGGTTTGCGTGCCATTTCGTGCGCCAAACTTGCGTGCTTCAGCGCTTGTGCCTTTACGTGCTGCGTTACCATTGTAATCCAACGAATGCTACTACATACTTCCTTTAAACAAATACAACATACCCCGGACTCCCTATCAGTGGAGTGCTTTTTCAATCGAGCCAGGCTCAAGAGACAGCGCTCGTCACTGCTCAGATTACAAAGCAGAGGATCACGAATCTTGCTTTGACCAAAGCTGATTGAGTTCCCTTCGTTGCCTGAAACCCTCTTTCTTTGGTACTTACAAAGACCAAAACGGCGGCTCCTCCGCGAGACCTGACGACGCGGAAAACGCGGAAAACGACCTCGAAGTGTTCTGCGGACACCGCCCGTGTCCGTATGGCCCATCGTGTCACGGCATCGTTCAACAGCCGCGGTGGTCATTGGTCCAAGAGTCAAGGACCACAGGAGCTTTTTTGTCTATGTCTTTTCCATGGACATTTCGGCATTCAGATCTACAGGGATTTCAATCAAAAACAGATTTCATCAAAAGCAACTAATTTCAAAAGGTATTGATCAAGTGGATCTTGCGTGTGAGTGTATGTTGCTTGTACAAAGTGGAGGTGACGTTTGTGGAAGTGGATCTTGCTTCTTCTCCACCGGAGAAAACCGAAGAAACGGTTCCAATGACGTCAACCCTCGTGTGACCCGTGACGTGAAAACCAGGCATTCCTGTAGCCTATTGGCATCGGAATCGGCGTCCCCAGGCCCCCCCAAAAAATAAAGCGTGCCAGATTACAGGCCAAGGTGCTCCCTTGGGAGAACTTTTTTAAGGCAGCAACATAGCTGGCACAAACCCTGGAAGATGCAGAGTTGCAAGGCCGGGGTTTTTGCTGCTGCTATATGGTTGATTCTCCTTGCCATGTGGAAGGCGAGTATTGCGAGTATTGCAGATGCCTGACCATTTGCAAGCAGGTGTGAGAGGAAGGACACATCAGCCAAAAATAGTGTTATACCGTTATACTTTTATATAGTTGCAGTATATGACACATCAGCCTATGTCCTTGCCAAAAACCGTTTTGGGCAGCGAGATTTCTGACAAACCTTGAAAGATTAGTTCCAATGCAGGTGCCTGGTGCCGGACACAAAGCCGCAACGGTCCCAGAATTTGGCTGCTGGAGAATCCACAAAAGGACGCAACTGAGGTGGAACATGAGCTGATTTGGTCCGAAAAGAAACGCAAAAAAAGGGGGCTTGGAATCGCGGAGCAACACTCCTCCGC